CGTTCCTCCCGCGACCGGCCCCGGGTGCCCGAGCCGCGCCTCCCGGCTTCCCAGTCTCGGGCCAGGCTTGCAGCCAGGCCTGCTAGCTTGAGTTGTTTAATATTTAAAAGGACCCTCTTCGTCACGCTCTTTCTAAAAACAAAACGACCGGACAGTAGCGCTCGAGCCATTTCATTAACCTCTCTCTGCCCAGGCCCTTGGGCAACCTTCCTCGCTAAGTTCCAGCGGCTGCTGGTACAGGTTCAACTGCAGCCCGGCGCGTTTTCAGGAGGATGAGGCTCGCTGCCTGGGGGGCCCGATGGGCAGCTCTTCTTGGCAGGGGAGTGCGAGTCGGAATGCAGTTGGTGGCCACGGGTTTAGTTTGTTGGTGATACGGGAAAGGGGGTGCGTTTAAGAACATTTATTCATTACCAGCAATGCAGGGGGAGAAAGAGGACGGTCTCAGGAGCCCTATGGGGGCCTTATGAGACAGAATCAACTTGTTGGCAGTGGGTTCTTGGAGTTTGTGACAGTTTTAGTTCTAAAATGCAGTTTTAGTTCTAAAATGCATGGTGCGACATTTCAGTTGTCAAAGGACTAACAGAATGAACATGTCTAGCTCTTGTGAGACTACTCGGCGCAGTTAGACCAGAAACAAGTAGCAGTAAGTCTGCCCTACTTTTTAATGCATAAACATGCCAGTTGAAAGTGGGCTTTAGCCTCAACACGTGAAAGAAATAGAAACTTTTCCCAAGAAGTGCTCTTTATTGTGATTTAGGCGAAAGTTTGCAGAGCATGTTTATTTTCCTTTTTAACAATTTGTACACATTTTGTTTAGTGACCAAACCAAAAACCAAACTGACATCAAGTTGATTCCGACTCCTGGGGATGCAGCAGGACAGGGTAGAACTGTCCCTGTGGGTCTCTTGAGATGGTAACTAAATCATTCCGTGAGTAGAATGCCTCGTGAGTAGAATGCCTCGTCTTTCTCCCTTGGGGAGGCTGGTGGTTTCGAACTGTTGGCCATGCAGTTAGCAGGCCAGCACGTAGCCAACCTGGACTTCTTTGTTTAGTGACAGTAGTTACTGTTTCTTCAGTCCTTCTTCACTAACCCCTTCCTGCCTCCTGAGCTTTGGTTTTGAGCAAAGGCTGCCCTTGCGGGCTTGTATTTTTTGGTTGTTCAGAGGAGTACCTGTTTCTTGGGTGTTGCTGTTCACTTTACAAGTCTGTCTGTTGTTTCCCTGAAAGCTGATCTTCCAGGGCTGGCTCAGCCCGAGGCTTGAAGGGAATCTAAAGCCACTATCTGGGCTTCTACCATCTTGACCAGGCCAATAAGTCTGGCCTTTAAAAAAAAAAAAAAAGATGTGAAGTGTCTACATTTCCCCCAACTCTTATGCTGTGGAGCAGAACTGTAGGTAGTGGTAGCCCAGCACCCTCTGGTTCTTCAGGTCTCAGGCTAGTGGAGGCTGTGGTTCCTGTGGCCCGGTAGTCCCTGGCCTAATGATTCCCTTGAGCTTTTCTTTTTCTCCACTCAGTGTTCCTCTGGACAAGGAGAGACTGCTCTTGAGCAAACACTTAAATGTTGAAAACAGTGACTAAAAGTCTGCATTATCATCAATGTGTTTTGTCCTAGTTATTTTTTGCAATTTATTACTTTTGGCCATAATCACTGTTTTCTATGGTCAGTCTTGCAGAACCAGCAGATTTCATGAGATCACTTTAGTTAATACTTTTATTACTTCATACACACACAGTGGAGGTTGTAAAAAGAAGGGGTATTGGCTTTCAGAAGTCAGCTCCTCTGAGTTAGGTAGCTGGACAGTTCTAAACATGTATGTGTTGGCTCTCCACCCCCACACACAATTCTGACGTTGGGGTTCTATGTTGCTATTGCTAGACACCTACAGGACAGATAGAATATGTGGATGAGTGTGGGAAAAGGACAACGGCCCTTGGGTGGCGAATAGCTAAGAGCATGTTTTTGTCTTTTGGGGGATTTTAATCTCTCCTGAGTGTTAAGGCCCAGGCTATGATTTTTTAGGCTTTTTAATTTGAACGGTTTTGTGGACATATAGTTCACATATCTTACAGTTCAGTAGTTTGAATAATTAAAAGGAATTGTGCCATTAGCATTACAATCCATTTCAAAACATTTTCTTCTTTCTTCTCATTGATGTTCGGTGCCTTCGAGTTGGCTCCAACTCCCGGCGACCCTGTGTACTGTGCACAACAGAAAGAAGCACTGCCCGGCCCTGCGCCGTCCTCACAATTGGTCTTATGCTCGAGCCCATTGTTGCAGCCATTGGGTCTGCCCATCTTGCCAGGAGCCTCCCTCTTTTCCACTGCCCTTCTATGTCTGCAGGGACTGGTCTTTCCTGACAACATGTCCAAAGTACGTGAGATGAAGTCTCGCTGTTCTTACCTCTAAGGAACATTCTAGCTGTCCTGCTTCTAAGAAAGGTTTGTTCTGGCTGGCTGTTTCAATACTTAATACTCTCCGCCAGCACTACAATTTAAAAACATTGACGCTTCTTTGGTTTTCCTTATTCAGTGTCTAACTTTCACACACACACATGAGTGAACTGAAAAGACTTGGCTTGGGTCGGGGCACCTTGGTCTTCAGCCACAGGCATAAAGTTCAGAATTATAACATATCACATAAGGAATTATGGCTAGAAGAGCCATCTTAGTCAATTACATTCATGCACCTCTTCATGTGCATATTCTATTCAAATATCTTCTGCCAAGTGCTCACTCAAGTCCTTAGCTCATTTCTCGTTGGATTGTTTGCTTTATTGCTAAGTTGTAAAAATTCTTTTGGATTGACGTAGTGGCTGCAAGAGTGAACTCAAACATAGCAAGACTCTACTGATGGCACAGGATAGGACAATGTTTTTTTCTATTATACATAAAGTCATTATGAGTCAGAGTGCATGCGCTGTCAAAAATGATAATAAAACCAAAACCAAACTGCTATTGAGTCAGTGCCGAGTCATAGCGATGGAAAGCCCTGTCTTTCTCCCACAATAATCATAATAAGAACCCTTATATAGTCCATATAGAAGTCCTTTGCCAGATATGTGAGTGTTTTCTCCTACTGAATAGTTTTGCATTTGCATTTTCTTAGTGGATTATTTGGGGGGAGCAGGTATTTTAATTTTGATAAAGTACAATTTATCAATTTGTTTTGTGCTTTTTTTGCTTGAAAAAGTGTATGTTTTATGTTTTTAGAATTTATTTTTATTGTTGTTGAGCATATAAACTGTTTCAGGCTTTTAAGAAAAGCCACTAGGAATTCTCTGCTCACTTCAAACAGGAATGCCATATATACTCGTGTATAAACTGAGTTTTCCAGCACATTTTTTAATGCAGATTTTTGTGGTAAAATTAGGTGCCTCGACTGATATTCGGGTCAGCGTATACTCGAGTATATATGGTATTCTCTTTTGTTTTCTTCTAGAAGCCTTGTTGCTTTAGCTTTTATATCTAGGTTTTTGAAGTGATACTTTATTAATGCAACAACATGACTATCAGGAGCATTGGATTTAAATCACTCTACATCAATGTAAATTTCTGGGTGGCTGATGGGACATAAAAATGATGATTGCCTCATATGAACAGGATCTCTTCTTACCTGAAAGCAGCAATTAAAGCTGTCGCCTCATAATGCTGTTTCTTGTGTTTCTGCTAGGACTTTAGTTCTTGAAAGTGAATCAGACTGCCTTGGAAGACAAGATGACTACCGCTGCAGAGAGGAAATATGTGAACATTAGGAAGAGATTGGATCAGTTGGGCTATCGCCAGACTCTGACCGTGGAATGCTTACCTTTGGTAGAAAAACTTTTCAGGTAAAAATGAGCGTGCAACTCTAAATCCCTTTGTTCCTTCCTCTTGTTTGCCTCATTTCTGACTGAATTTCATCGATCAGTAAAGAAAAGTGCTTAAACCGGCTGAAGTTCATCTGTTTTTCTCTTACCTCCTAGAGCCCCACATTACAAAACTCAAGGGGCCACCCTCCTTCAAGCGTTTCTGAGTGTTTGCTCTTTGAACAGAGTTATACTTTGTTGTTCTTTTTAATGTAGCTTTCCAGAATAGTGGGGAGACATCCTTCCCAGTTCTATGTCTATTTCACTGGTCCTCAGTTATTATTATATTAATAGTGGATCTATAATATGTTGGTGGTTACTTGGAGCTGTTACATGTTACTTTAACTGAAAAGTTACTTGTGATGCCCCTCCGCCCCCCGGCCTCCCTCCCTTTTCTTTTCTACACGAGCCAGATGGGGTTGAACGACTGAAGTAGAGAGATTTCCTTAGGTGATTTTGAATAGGACTATAAGCAATGAATGTGCCCTTGTGGCACAGTGTTAGGCTGCTGACCCAAAGGTCAGTGGTTCAAACCCACCAGCCATGCTGTGGGACAAAGACAAAGCCGGCTGCTTCTAGAAAGATCCACCGCCTTGGACACACTATGGAGCAGGTGAGATATGAGTTGGCATCGACTTGACAGCAGGTAGGATAAGCAATGGTGATTGTAAGGAAAGAATGGATAAAAGATATTTTGTGATATTTATCGTGGCCTCCAAGACCCTTCCTCATCTAAGCCCTGCTTCTCTGCAGCTTCACCTCCCAAGTCTCAAGCAACTGGAAGCCCCCCAAACTTAACCCGCGTTCTCTCATGTGCTGTTATACCTGCCTGTAAAGCCCCTGTTTGCTCCTGCAGTATTTTGGTGCAATGGATGGCCTTAAAAGGCCTTTAAAAATGGCCTTTCTCACTGTGGTCTTGTTAACTCCCACCCAGTGACTGAGTGGGGCCATGCAGTTGAGGGGCTTGTGGTCCACCACGGGGGGTTGGACAGCTTTCACATAATGAAAATCAGGTGAATGGCACCCTCACAGGCTAGGATCATGGAAATAGGGTGTTTGGAATCCTAATGGGATTGGCAAGCTTTGCCATCCCACTAGGCTTAAAATGAGCCATCCCAGCAGTAAAAAGTGAGGACCTCATTACCACCAGCAAATAAGAGCTCGTAGTCGAGCATGTCCCTTGGACCTAGGATTTCCACTCTGAGGACCTGCTTGACCCAGGACACAGCAGGAGAGAGCTGTAACACAGAGATGGTGGGAGGCGGTGGCAGAGAAATGGCAGCAGAACCAGGAGACAAGGTGGTGGGCTTCCCAGCCCACAGAGCTCAAGAGCTGAACATCTTCAAGCTGATACTGACAAGAATGGTGTGTGTCTGTCACACTTGCTTTGTAACACTTGCCTGAGCAGAACGATGGCTGGGCCAGTCCTTGACACCCAAGTGGGGCCAAGGGCTAAGATGCTGAGGGTCAGGGAGCTGTATCCAGAATCATTTCTGAACCTGAATTGTAACATGTTGCTTTCCAAATAACCCCCATCACGGTGAGTATGGTCTGAGTTCTCTGTGGCCATTGCAACACATTTTCAAACCCAGCAGAGAAGTAGAGTGTGATGGCAGGGATTACTGGGGTCAGAATTGCTAAAAAGCCTGGAGGGGAGCGTGACCTCTGCCTCCTCGGATTCAGCTGTGGGTACTGACGCCAGAGTGACTCTCGCCTTCCTCTTGTGAAGTTATGGTCTGAGGCTAGCACGTCACCGGTTTTACACTCTTTGCCCTTGCACTCCTTAGTTTCTAAGTCTGTATGTTCTGCATGACTGTCTCCTCTGTTACAGGTTTCCTTAACTACTATCTAGTTAAAGAAATATGATTATGTCTTCCCTTTAGAATGAGCCCTGGTGACACAATAGATTAAGCAACAGGCTGTTGTTAGAACCCACTGACTTCTCTATGGGAGAAAGTTGAGGTAGTCTGCTTCCTAAAAATTCACAGCCTTGGAAACTGTGGGGCAGGTCTGGTTTACGGGATTGCTGTGAGTCAGAATTGACTCCACGTTGGTGGGGTTGGTTTGTCGCTATATCTCTAATAGCAGGACAGAGGTAGAAGGAAGGCCCTGTTTGAAGATTCTGATGGCTTGTGTTCTTGTAGGTGGTGGTGGTGGGGGGAGCTAATTCCTATTCATTGTTGTACCCCTAGCTTTTAGCAAATAGCGGATTGTTAGCTGCCCTTGTAAGTGCACACACACGCATGATGCACATAGTATTCAGAGGAGACCCATGTGTAAGGACGTTGCGCAGCTTGAAAAATGTGTAATGTGTGGTTTGTGTAATAGTATAGTCATGTATCAATCCTTGCTGAATGAACAAGTAATTTTCCAGATTCCACTGCAGCGAGTGGTGACTGGGAAGCGGGCATGAATGAGGTGCGTGGGGCCGAGTAGGATCCTTAAAGTTGACCTTGTGTGTGTTTTGGGTTTTTAAAAAAAATCATTTTATTGGGGGTTCATACAAGTCTATCACAATCCATACATACATCAATTGTATAAAGCACATTTGTACATTCGTTACCCTCATCATTCTCATAGCATTTGCTTTCCACACAAGCCCCTGGCATCAGCTACTCATTTCCCCCTCCTCCCTCCCCGCTCCCCTCTATGTGTGTGTTTTATAACTTTCAATATCTTGTTTTAAGAAAAGTTTTGAGGACTTTGTAGTGGCAGCTTGAAAGAACCCTAGTATCCTTTAAAAAAATATGGTTCAGAAATCTTTTAAAACTTTGGGCATATCTATCATGAACATGTATCTTAAGCCTTGTTTAGAAGTCTATTTTCAGTTGCCAGCAAGCTAATGGAAAGCTTCCCTGCGTTTCCACTTCCTGCTACTGAATTTTAGTGACCTGGTTCATACCACAGAGAGCCTTCGGAAATCAAAATTATCTGCTGTGAAAGCTGAGAAAGAAAGTGCCAATTTTGATTTTATCTTGGAACCTTACAAAGTTGAAAATTCGAAATTGTGCAGGGAGAACAATGACTTATACCTGGAATTAATGAAACTGAGGGAGCAGTCAGACCAGCAAATTAAAGGTAAATGGAAATTGGTAATTCTTTGACTGCACAATTCTGTTTTCTGTGTGATGGTGGTGGTTGGCGGTGGTGGCATTCCTTGCCGCAAAGTTGGCGCCATCTCGTGGTGACAGACGAAAGGTTGCTAGGCCCTGGACCATGGGCATTGTCCTTTATGGGTGTGAGCCAGTTGTACCAGTCCATTTCACTGAGGGTTATCTTGCTTTTCCTGACCCACTTACTTCACTGACCATAATGTCTTTTTGAATGGATTTTCCGATGACATGTCTAAAGTAAGCAAGAAGAAGTGGGGAAGGCTCTAATCTAAATGTAAGAGTATTGATTGGAGAATGTAGTGGCTCCGCTGCCGATCCCTGGTGAAAGATTCCAGGGGTGAAAGGTGAACGTGTGAGTCATAGATGTTATTTGTCCACATCGTATGTGGATTGAATTTCTAGAGTTAAAATTGCCTTGTAGAATATTCAATGCTGATCTATAGCGACAGGAATTGGATTAATAGTTTTCTTGGGCTTATAGCAGGGGAGTGGGGGATGGGGACCTCCTAATGAGTACGAGGAAAAAAAATGTTCTAAAATTGATCGTAGCTCTGACTGCACAACTCTTTTAATATGCTGAAACTAAGTTCTGGTATATGAATTATATGACAAAACTGTTAAAACATATGAAATGCTGGAATTGCAGGCACACAAAACACCTTTAACTGAAAATAATAGTAGTAAAGGGGAAAGCTAGGTATGACTCTGAGTCCTTAATATTTTGTGCTAAAAGGTTAAACTAGGATAATTAAAAGTCACTCGAAGGTTAGTTGTCTGACCATCTGGTTGACACCTTTTCCTCGCATTCACTATAAAGCTCTAACACCTGGCATGCATTCATAGACCCTTTGCTTCCTACAAGGTCCGAAGCCGTGCTTGATTTGAGGTCCGTATCAAGAGACGTAGAATCCCTTTAGTGCTTATGTCCGATTTTGTTAATAGTAGAAAAGGTCAATAGATTCACGCGAAGCCTGCCTGAGACTCAAGTGGTGCCTTTCCAGTTAAAGGCCTTTTCTTGTTTCATGAAATGGGGCAGCCTTAAAGAGAACGCCGTCTTTCAGAGTCTGTGGATCTTCCTTATTTTAAGAGTTGAAAACTGCACTGAAGAAGAGTACCCGAGAAACAGATGATCTGAAATTTCTAAACAACCAATATGTCCACAAACTCAAGCTTTCGGAGAAAGAGAGCAAGGCTAAGAATGAGAAAATACAGCTGCTTCAAGAAAAGAATTTGCAAGCAGTAGTACAAACTCCAGGTAAGTCTTTTCTTTAAAAAAATAAACATTACATTGCCCTCTTTTGTTTTTTCTTTCCACATTTACTCTTTGAAAGCTTCAAAAACTGTTGACTGGACTAGGACTTGGGATTTCCATACTTCGGGGTTAGTGTTCCACAAAAAACATTTTCCTATTTCTGAAGCTCCCAGAGTGTTTTGTACAAATGCATCTAAATAAAAGTGTGTACAGTGATAGCATCTTAGATCAAAGTTGTCTAACTTTAATGCCAGAATTGTATTTTCCTAATTATGTATTTAATTGGCCCTTTCCATGTTTTTATTTATTTGGTTATAGAACTGATCCTTACTGATCAAAGAACAGTTTAGAAATTAAGTGCTTTAGTAGTTTGGTTTTTCCGTTTTGCACACAGCAGTTCTCAGAGTACAGAGATAGTGGGGCGTGTCCAGAGTTGGTGGTTGGCCAGGCAGAGGTCAGTGGAGCAGGCTACCTCATTCCTGTCTTGTAGGGTCCCATCGAGTCCCATTCGACTTAATGGCAATGTGTTTGGCTTGGTTTGTAGATGTCTGAACGATGGGGTACAAGCCTGTGGAAGTGAGCCGTGGGGTGCTGCCACATTATGAGATGGGCTCGAGGCTGAGGGACTCAAGGACATGGTGAAACCAAAAGACATTTGTGGGAATGCAGTTCTAGGCAGTGGAATTTCAACGTGAGGCTCTAGAATCTGGCACGGTTCTGAATGGTGACAAAGCACAGGCCCTGCTGGCATGTGGTGAAGTCAAGTGGAGTGGAAACTCAGGAGCATTAAGGGACTAGGAACTGAGACCAGGATGGGGAAGAATCATTGTGTTTGAGCTGACAGGAAATGGAATGGGGCAGGAGCTTGTGAGCCAAAGACAGAAAAGATAGAAAAGTGGGAGAACATTTCACAAGTAACTAGAAGAGTTAAGGGCCAGAAGAAAGTGATCAGGTGTCCCGAGGAAAGACTGGACCAGCTTTCCCGAGTGATTCAGGTGTAATCCATAGACCTGCAGGCTAGAACGTGGTAGATTTGAGGAGCAGAGGGTTGACAGGTTTTTGTTTGGGGAAAAAGTGTTGGTGGTGCTACTTCTCAAAGACGGAGCATGTGGGCAGCAGCAGGAGCCCACTTTGTGGGATGGTGAAGATGCTGTGTCCATGGGGTTTCTGGTGAGCAGCGGGATCTGTGTGTGGATCTCTTCTCCCAAGTGTGGTCTCAGATGGAGACTGAAATTTAGGGCTCATCGTGTGTGGGGTGACAGGAATATCTAGTGAGATCCTGTAGACTGGGAAGAGAGCAGAACCCTAGATGGGACTGGGAGACATCCGCATGTTCGAGACAGAGAGTGAGAAGGAGCCCACCAAAGAGGAGGAGGAGGAGGCGAGGGAAGAAGAATCTTCAAGGGGAGAGGTTACTTCGGTGAGATGCAGATCCACAAGCAGATCACTAGAATACTTATAAGCTGGTTTCTTTGTCCTTAAAACGAGAGAGAGGCATATACAAAATGTTTTTTGGATTCTACTGAAGACAGATTAGATAGATGATCTTGTTTATGAGAACGTTCTAGTTTTTTGAAAATACTTCTAATCTTGCTTAGATGTTTAAAATGATAAATTATCCTTGTGGTTTGGACCAAAACACGAGGGGGTGCCCCCCCCCCCAACCAGACTTGCACTGGTCAGAGCGAAGCTTTGGGAGTACACATTTTTCCCGCCATGTGAGCATCCAGCAACTCGCTCTGAGTTAGTGCACCCAGTGGTGTCACCTGGGATGGTTCTCTTTGGTCACAGTGAATTTTTTCCTAAAAGCAGCTTCGCTCAAAACTTATGTTTTTTTTGTGATGGCTGATTTAAAAGAATAGCGTGCAGTTGTGAAATTTTGTTTCCTGTTTGGAAAAAATGCCACAGAAATTGTTGTGTTGAACACAGCTTACAAGGACAGCACTATGGGAAAAACTCAAGTGGTTTTCTCCTTCCAAAAACGGTGAATTGTCGATTGATGACAAACCTCGTTCTGAACGTCTGTCGACTTGTAGTGCGTTTGTAGTTCGTTCCATCAAGTCAGACTGTTAGTCAAGCATCTTATTTAGAGGTTCTGAAAAGATTGTGTAACAGTGTGCGACAAAAAAGGCCTGATTTATGGCAGAAGGGGGACTGGTTTTGCTACTACAATGCACCTGCTCACACAGCCATCTGTGTGTGCCAGTTTTTGGCAAAAAACAGCATGCCTCTCTTGCCCCACACAACTTTCTCACCTGGCCTCGCTCTCAGTGTGACTTCTTTTTGTTTCCGTGAATGCAGAAGGACATGAAAAGACAGCAATTTGGTGATGTAGAAGAGGTGAAGAAAAAAACGAGGGAGGTGTTGTCAGCCATCCAAACAGATGAGTTTGAAAAATTGTTTCCAAAAATGGAGTCACAGATTTGAGAAATAAATTAACTGTAATGGAGAGGGTTATAAGGTTGTTTTGTTTAAAAAAAAAAAATTAATTCTGGGGTTTTTTTTAGTACCCCCTCATGGATTTATATTCTTCTTCCTACTTTTAAGGACAAGAAAACATTCCTTATGGCTTCAGATGATAAAATACTTGTTTCTGGTGACGTTCCATTATTTCTATACTGTGATTACTACTTGAAATTTCAGCTCTCTGCATCTTGGACACTGCTAAGTGTGTGCAGTCTAGCCTGCCTGAGGGCTGCCTTTGGCAGTTTCTGTGAGTGATGGTTTCTTGAGCTCACAATGGAGAGCCCAAAGGCCTGCTGAGGTCAGGCCCCATCTAGTGGAAGCACAGAGTCAATTTTGGCAAGCCAGCCAAGCATTCAGGCAGACAGCCACGTTTTAGGACCTGAGGTTTTCAGGAATGCCTTGTTCCATTAAAGAAGAAGGTGGGTATTTGTGTGTGAGGGAGAAAATATTTATCAAAATGTAAATTGACAATGAAGAAGTTTACCTTTTTCAGTACTTAATTCTAGGACAAGGTTTAGTTTTATTATATTTTAATATTACACACTTTTTTTTAGGTGGCAAGAAAAGAAGCATTGCCTTCAGGCGCCAGCGTATGCAAATCGATGAACCGGTTCCTCCCTCTGAAGTCACATCATACCCAGTCCCTCAGCCAGATGACCCTTATATTGCAGACCTCCTGCAGGTGGCTGATAACAGGTGCATTAAATCATTTCCTGCTGACTTTAGTTTGTGGAGGAGCCCTGGTGGTTACACATCCGGCTGCCAAGCATAGGGTCAGCAGTTCAGAACCACCAGCCACTGCACAGTAAAGAGTTAGTCTCAGAAGCTCACAAGGGCAGGTTCTACCCCATCCTATAGGGTCACTGTGAGTCAGAATTGACTCGATGGCAGTGAGTTTGGTTTTTTGGTTTAGTTCATCAATCACCCAGATCAGTCCTAATCGGCTTGGTGGTAGAGCTTTTGTCTTTTCACTGTGATCCCTGGTGGGTTGTGCGATGGGCTGCTGATCACAAGGTCACTTATTCAAACGGAGGGAGTCAGGGGGGCTCTGCTCCCGTGAATATGGACAGCCATGGAAACTCTAGATAGATTGCTGTGTTTCTGATTTGCTCGGGGGCAGTGGGCTAGGCTTTGTGGGTTTATTGTGCCCTTGATGCCCAGCACAGCATCTTGCACACAGGCACTTCAGTAACTGCTTACGGACTGATACGGATTTTTTTGAAGATTTGCTATCAAATCGGTCCTCTACCTGATGTGTCTGTCTGTACTTGTTAAAGTCATTGAGTGCCATCGAGAGTCTGTTTCTGTTTCTGTAGGGTCGCTTTGTTTTCATTAGGGTCCTATCTGACAGCGTTTACAGATTGTTTTGTGACATCAATTACCTTTCACACCTTGTGTCACTGTTCTCTTTAATTGGGTTCTGGCTGTTGAAGAATTGCTTTCATCAACAAATAAGATCGGTTAGGGGAACTCTTATTATGTCTTAGGTCAGAGTTATGTCAAATGACAGTTGGACATAAATTGATTTGAAACTGGCTTGTCTCCAAGTCTGGTTTTATGTGTTCATGTTTGTATATCTATAAACTGAACTCAGATACAAGTTCCATTTCATTAAAACTTCCTTCAGCCTCTGGGCGGCGCACTCTGTAAGTACCTGGGTGATGTTATTATGGTGTTGCTTACACATCAGTAATGAAGATGAGACAGGAGAAATGCATAGAATGGCCGTAAGAAAATTGTAACAGATTCACAGGAGCAAGCTAGCACTAGTGACAGTGTCTGTGGCCTAAGCTGGAGAAGGATTCAAAGTAAGGACTACACCAGGAGAACTAAACTGACTGTGCAGAGGGTTTTCTGTTTCATTAGTCTCTTTATAACAGTCTTAAAAAAGGCGCTGGTTAAGAGGTATGCATTAGAGATCCTTGGTTCAGTTCATTGTTCTCACATGATATAATGTATGTACACACTTAGCTGACGTGAACTGTGAATTAATTATTTTGTGTTTTGCTGTTAAAGTTCTAAGCTGGGATTTCTCAGACAATATGTTAGTATTTTTAAAGAATTATCCAGGCTTCATAGGTATCTTTTTCTTCCTTTCTCTCTAGCAATTTTCTCTCAGACCATCAGAGGATCTAGTGCAGCAGTTCTCAACCTGTGGGTCGAGCCCCCTTTGGGGGTTACCTGACCCATTCACAGGGGCCGCCTGATTCATACTGGCAAAATGACAGTTATGAAGTAGCAACGAAAATAATTTTATGGTTGGGGTCACCACAACATGGGAAACTGTATTAAAGGGTCGCGGCATTAGGAAGGTTGAGAACCACTGCTCTAGCGTCTTTTGAGCACCTGGTTCAGGCTAGTGTGCACATGCACAGTTCCTTTGTATCCAGTCACTCACACCTGCAGGAGCTCGGTTACACATATTCATCACCTGAACCAAGACGAGAAGAAAACTTTGGTTCCAGTAGTTGCAAGAACCAGCTGGGTTCAGCCTCCTGTACTCCAGCTCAGAGAAAGCCTCTTAAAAGCACACCTACCTGTGGGCTTTATCCTATCAGTGTGAACAAAGATCATGCCATTAATGCTTGACAAAGTGGGCAATTGCAAAAAGTCAGGTAATATGGCAAAAACCTTGATACTGTTAGAATAAACTGGAGTTCCAGAAAGAACATGGGTTTTGCTATAGTTCCTTGGAAAATTGCATCGTTTCTTGATAATGATAATTTTCTTTTTTTCCATGGTTGATGGGTAATTTACTAGAAAGAAAATACAGGGTATTTCCGGGGCAGAAAATAGTCTAGTTCATTATTTTGCTTAATAAGCCTACGTATTTTGGTTTGAGCTCCTTAGTCTCTGGAACCTAAGAATTGGCAGCTGTGGGGAGGTTGGGGGGAAATGGGGCGCTAATAACAAAGCACAAAAATAAATGTTCTAAAATTGATTGTGGCGGTGATTATGCAATTCTTTTTAATATATTCAAACTGTTAAATCTTAAGGTGCGTGAATTAAATGTCAAAACTTAAACAAAAAATTTTTTAAAGAGTTGCCCTAGGGGAGTAGGTGTTAATGACTCCACTGTGGTGTTTCCTCACTCCCCACACCCCCCAAAAAGTGTGTATTCTGAACGCTGACCTCATTGCCTGGGATTATAATGGAATTTGTGACTGTTACCGAGGCAGGTGTAGCTTGAGTTGGTCTGTGTTGAGGTAGGAAGCCAGCCTGCAGAGGTGGGGAAGGAGCCTACAGAGCCCAGACGGGGAACAAGTAAAGCTTCCATCAGAGCTGGCGCCCTAGCCTCTAACCTGTGCTAGCAGGCTTTTCTGGGAAGTAAAGCCATCCTCTGTGGCCATTCTGTTGTAGCAGCGCTAGGTATAAAGGTGAAACTGAGGTACAGGGAGGAAGACAGACATAGCTGACAGAACAAGGGAGAGCAGAAACAAATAGTTTTATTAGGGGAAGCCCCTGACGGACTAGGTTCTGTGACCTAGGCCAACATGTCAGGGAAGTCTTGCTTAGCAGCTGGGGGTGAGGGTTTTTAAAGGGGTGGTGAGGAATGGCAATTAGCATATGGGGGTCTGGAAACTCCGAGAATGGCTTTTCGACTCCTTATGGCTTTCTTCCAACCCGGAACATCTGGTTTCACTGGCTATCTTATCTGGTGGTTATCTTATCTGGCTGACCTTATCTGCTGCTGACCTTTGGGACATGTAGGGCAGCACGTGTAGGGCCCGAACCTGCTTCAGCTTAGTCCAAACAGGGCTGCCTAGTTCAGACCTGGCCCAAACACTAGGTAAGTGAAATATAAGCATGTTATTGAACAATTTATCTGAGTTCCAAATTGTTAACGCAGGTTTATCAGTCTTCTAAAATGACCTCTTCAAGAGATGTGCTATTTAAAATGCTGTGACCTCATTAAGTAGAGAAAAGCAGATTATAAATAAAAGAATGCATCTAGTTTCATTTGTTTTTTAAATTTCTTAGCCCTATTCACAAAAATGTTAAATGTATTTCAGGATTCAAGAACTTCAACAGGAAGTCTGTCAGTTACAAGAAAAGTTAGCAGCCATGGAAAATGGAGTGAGAGACTATAACAAGCAGGCAAGTTTTTTGTTTAACTTCGAGTGCTGGGGTTAAGATGGGTATGTGTGATTATAACTCTGGGTTACATTTGATATTACTGGTCCTGGTTTTTAATACAAGTTTTTACCTTTTTCTTAATTTTAAGAGGGTTAAGAGCTGAAGTCGCTTTAGATTGTCCTAGATTCCCAGACTTATTTGACCTGCCCCTTCCTTTTCAGAAAAAAATCACTGGGTGCTCACTTAGCAATTATACACTTTTGTACACTAGCCCATAATCCAGGATAAAGTGTAGGTAGCTACTTTTGCAGCACCTCGGGATCATTCCCGTGCCCCCCACTTTGTGCCCCCGCTTCGGAAGACACTGCTCTCTAGTCCAAAGCTTCTTAAAACCGTGAACTGCAGTCTGGGGGGGGGCGGGGGGGGGGGGTAGAGTTGATAAGTGAATGTGGGAGCTGTGAAAAATTTGGCACCATTAAAAGGTTTCTGAATATGCAACAACCAAAAACTAAGTCAAAAATCCAACGACTAATGAATCCCTGGTGTTTCTGGCGCTCTTGCCCTGGAGTGGAAAGGCTTTAGAAGCCCGGGCCGTGTCTGGTCATTCTCCCTGTTATACATGGAAGTCAGTAGCAGTTTTTCTTTTAGCGGAATCATACATTTCCCTGAGCATAATTCCACAACCATATTACTATTTCTTTCTCTGGAAGGATTTTTTAAAGTGTGCTAGTTCTACAGTAGCATTCTTTATATTTTTTAATGCTTAATCGGGTAGGGATTTTGTCATCCCCGTGGCCCTATTCTGTGTGTTCTCACCACAAGCACTAGTCCTTGCAAACCATTTTCTGAAGAAAGCAGGGATTCGGGAGGTGCAGAGTTAGCGCCCATGCCCTTAACAAGCCTTGTGCTTTCATCCCGCCTGTTGGTGTCTTGACTGAATTCAGGTTTGAGTAATTGCAGGCTTTCTTTCCTAATATGCTTACTGAAGCTTAATGGGGTAACACCTCTTACATTTTCTCCACCTGACTGCATTTGGGGGGCATGCAGTGAATGTGTATATACAAATAGAGATGTTACTTATGTATTGGTGTCGTTTTTAAGTTTGTAAAGTACTTTGAGGATTGTTTGGATACAATTTTTATAGAAAAGGAGTAGGAATACCTACCGTAACTCCTGTCTTCTCCTTCCCCCAAAAAAGCTTTCTTTAGGAAGAGATGTTAAAAATACCACTATGCACAAGAGTTGAATATAATTGGTATTTTTAAAAATTTATGATCAACACCTTTATCATATTTTTTTTCTCAAAGTACTTTATGAATATAAACTAACCTATCCTTACCATGTCTATTAGGCAGTGGAGGCATTTAGAGGAAATTGCCTGACCCTTAAGGTCAAACGGTTAGCGGTCTCAGAACAACCCTGGTGTTGCAGTGGTTTAGTGCTTTGCTGCTAACCCAAGGTTGGTGATTCAAACCTACCAGCCAGTCTGCTGGAGAAAGATGAGGCTGTCTGCTTCTATCAAGATTTCCTCTCTGGGCAACCCTGAAGCAGCATTTCTAAAGAATCGATATGAGTCAGAATCAACTGGATAACTGTTTGTTTTTTTTCAGTTTTATACATAATCTCTTTCAATTATATTTTAACATGAGTTTATTTCATTGGATTGTTATTTTCCTGTTTTTTTTGTAGCATTCCAGTGTTTGCTGTTTTCTTAGAGCTCTTTCCTCAATTTTCCATACCCCTTCTCAGGATTTTGTCTTGACTAAACTTCATGTCTCAACCTTTACAATGAGCAATATTCGTACCTAGGCTCTCCCTATCATTTAGTGGGTAGAGTGCTATTCTTCCCATTTAAGACCAAGTCTTCTACTTGTGCCTGACCCATCCATTTCTCCTCTTCTCCTTAGTCACTTATTCTTTTATTTCTTTAAACCTACAGCCACTGTACTACTTTCTTTTAATCTTCATAACAGTCCTATGAGGAGTTACTATTAATGTTCTCTTAGCATTCGTTTAAAAATCTCTCTTAAAAAAAAATCTCCTTTAACTCTCTTAATCTCTCTTTTCACTACTTTCTCCACCTGCATGCAATCTTCTTGAAAGAGTGTCTCCACTTCCTCACCTCCTGTTCACACCTTTCAATTCATAGAGACTGTGTGCAGCAGAACGAAGCACTGCCCGGGCCTGCGCCATCTCTCAATTCACTCCATAACCTATTACAGCCTGGCTTCTGTCGCCCAACAGAAGCTGTTCTAGTTAATGTCTCCCGTGGCAGGAATGGCTAGATCCAAAGGGTGCTTTTAATTTTTATTGATTTTAAGCTACTTGGTGGTCTTTAAGCCACTCACTCACCTCTGACTTCATTTCCTTTGTTTTCTTTTTTATAATTTCTTCTCTGCTTTTCTTTCCCTGCCTGCTCCTTGAAATACTGTTTCCTAGGGTTCTGCCTTTGACTTTTTCTCCTCTCCTATGATTTCTCAGGTGGCCTCATTCAATCTCGTTAACTCCCGAACTTCTCTCTGGCCAGGCCTCTCTGCTGAGCCCCAGACCCCTATGCCCATCTTCACACAGGGGTTTTCACATAGGTGGAGGCTCTTTGGACGCCTGTCCCTGGTGTCCAATAGGTCATCTTCCTCAAGTCTCCTCCCCTGTCAGCTCTACTGTCCTTGTCGCCTCCCCATCTGCCCAGGCCTGTGCTCCAGGGTCTTTCTAGACTTCACTCGCTTCCCTTTGTACTCCACTTCATGCGTGCCGCCGGGTTCCTGCCAAGATACTGCTTACATTTCTTTCTTTTGTTGTACCCTGTACTGATGTTGTATCTTAGGCCTTGGTCCACTCTCGTACAGATTCCTATAATGGTCCTACAAACCAAATGTCCAGAGTGACTGCAAACCCAGGGCCAGGAAGGCCACATAAGGGAGCCCTTGGTAGCCCAGTCTCCCTGCCTCTGCATCGCACACATTCAGCTTTCAAGCAGCAATGAGACTGTGAGGCTGAAGAGTTCTACCCATGGCTCCAAGCTCTCCAATTTCCTGTGGACGGCATTATCATGTCTAGAAAGCAAATAATAAACAATAGGAGCAGATGTCTGGTGAACCAGCATGCCCCCTGCCCCTCCCAGAGGAGCAACTGGTGGGTTGGTTCATACTGCTGACCTTGCTGTTATAGCCCAATGTATAACTGTGTTAGTCTGGGTAGAGTAGAGAAACAAATCCATAGACACTTATATATATAAAAGAGGTTTATTCACAAGAGCAATTGAATAATGAGAAAACGTCCCAGCCCAGTCCAGATCAAGTCCATAAGTCCAATATTAGCCCATATGCCTGATACCAATCTATAAAGTCCTCTTCAGACTCATGTAATACATGCATTGTTGCCAAGAGCAGGAGGATCACAGGCCAGTGGATTGGAAGTCTTGTGGATTCAGTGGCGTTGTGAGCATCTCAGTGCTGTCACGGGTCTTTACGTGGCTTCTCCGACTCCACAGGTCGAGTTGCATCAGGGTAGATTAATGTGGCTTCTCTAGCTCCCAGGGCATAGCACCATGTGTCTTATCAGTAGAGCATCTCTCAGGGAGGGAGCAGAGAGAGTCAGTCTCCCGCCTCCAAGAAGGAAATACAGGAATTCCCAGAATTCTCAGGAGAAGGCCATGCCCACACAGAGACCTCATTGGCTATGATCCGATTGACAGACTAGACTCCACCCCTTCACTCTTAATCCCATCAAGTCCCAAACTAATAACAGATTATGTAGCTACCGCAATAACCAAATCAAATCAGGTCATTTTTCCATTAAAAACAAACTAACCTCTTTGTTCCAAAAAATTTGGGTTCCTGAGCAGAGGCGTTCAGTACTTGGAATGATTTGTTCCCGCTTAATTCTTAGACTCATTCCTAGCCACCAGCTCCCCGGCACGTTACTGCCTGGTCACACTGCACTTCTACACTCCCTCAAACCCCCTCCTGCCATGCTTGCCTGTCATTGCCTGGACTATCCCACTTCTGTGCATCGCTTCCATCATTTGTAACCTTTGGGGCATCTCTTTGGTAAGCTGTTCCAAAGCTGGGGTAAGATTTCCACAGATCCTGATAGACCTTGCAGAATAAATCACGTTGTTCCCTAATCTGCTCTAGGGCCGTGTACCCACCGTTAGTTTCCCTGAAGAACTGTGTGTTCTTAGAGGGCAAGTACCGTATTCATCTTTGTCTTCCTAGTACTGTGCTCAGCAATTGTATGCTGAACTCTGAATGCTTGGTTTGTGTTTTGTTTTCTTTGCTGTTTTATTTGGAAAAGAAAGCCAAAACTTGAAATGTGTGGGTTTTCCCCCAAATTCTTGCATGTGAATTAGTGTGACTGGTTTAGAGTGATCTTTTTATGTAACTGTTGCTTTCAAAATCACACATAAACTAATTCAATTCCACTCGGTGTCAGCTTGTGTAATGTTGATTTAAGCAGTGGTGCAGCCATCCCTTCATCTCACGTGTGTTCCTCAGGAGGCAGGCAATTGAGCCTCAGTTCTAGGAGTTGAGCGTGTCTGTTAATAAAGACACTGCCTGACCTTCCAGGAGGAAAGTGAAGCATCAGTTAACTTAGGGAGCACTTAGGCAATAACATGTATGAGAGAGCTATGTTGAAATTAACTTAGGGAGCACTTAGGCAATAAGAACTTGTATGAGAGAGCTATGTTGACAATACTTCTGTTCACATTTTCTGGGTGTGTGTTTTCTGTGCATAAACATTCATGATCCTGTGTCCCAGGGGCTTTAAAATTTAATTCCTGGAAGAATTCTGTTTTCTAATTCCATTTTTCCATGAACTTTTTGAAGCCGCCTTGTACATATGGGTACATGGATGAATGTCATTCTCTTTTAAACATTGTAGAACGTAAGAAAAATGGAAGTGTGTCCCAATAAATTTTAGTCCAGCATTAGTCATTTGGGTTCAGCATCTGATTTTCTGCGATGATGGCTTTCCTTTGTGTGTTCAGATTGAGCTGAGAGAACAAGAGATCGAACGACTGTCAATGGCTTTGGATGGCGGCCGCTGCCCTGATGTCCTCACTCTGGAGAGTAGAAATAAAACCAACGAGAAGCTTATTGCTCATTTAAATGTTCAGGTAATGGCTTTTATAATTCCTCGCTGAGTCTGTAAAATCAGAGTGTTACACTGGTCCATGAGTTTACAAAGTCACAGGGCTGTCTAGCAGTAATGTTTGGTCGAGGCAGAGTTCTCAGAAGTCAGAGAATGGTTAGATAAGTTCAAGCCTAACTTGAAAAATCACCTTTGTTTTCAAAGAATATTTAATGAGTCAGGAAAATACAAGGGGCTTCAAAAAGGCCATGGGAAAATTCCATTATCTTTAGATTCCGTTTTTATGTTAAATATTTAAGAGAGGAGAACAGATTGTGGTCTTAAATTTGCTTTTACAAGATGTTTCTATGCACACACAGAGAGAAAACTCTGGGAGGGAATACACTGAGGTGTACCCCCAACGTTTTATGATTATTATTATTAATCATTTTATTGGGGGCTCCGACAAATCTTATTACAATCCTTAAATCAGTTGTATCAAGCACACTTGTATGTATGTTGTCATCATTTTCTCTCTACATGAGCTCTTGGTATCAGCTTCTCTTTTTTCCCTTCCCTCAACACCCTCCCACCCTTGTGCATCCTTGCTCAATTATAATTATTTTATTTTCGTTTCTTACCGTGTGCTGTCTTCCTTCATCCACATTTCTGTTATTCATCTTCTTGGGGAGATGGGGCTTTATATCCATTATTGTGCTCAGCTCCCCCTTTCTCCCCTCCCCTCCCTCTGCCCTTATGGTGTTATTACCCCCACTACTGTTCCCGAGGGGTTTATCTGTCCTGGCATCCACACATCAAGAGCTCTTAGATGTGTAAATACTCCAGTCTAGCCAGATTTGTACATACTCCAGTCTGGCCATACTCCAGTGTACATACTCCAGTGTATATACTCTAGTCTAGCCAGATTTGTAAGATAGAACTGGGTCATGATAGTTGGGGGCAGGAAGCTTTCAAGAACCAGAGGAATGTTGTGTGTCTTATTGGCGCTATATTACACCCTGACTGAATCGTCCCTTCTGTGAGGGGATGTCCAATTGTCTACAGATGAACTTTAAGCCTCAACTCCAACCCCTCTTGTTTGTATTGATATTTGTCTGCTTTGTATCTTTTGATACCTGCTACTTAATCCCATTGACACCTTGTGATCACACAGGCTGGTGTGCTTCTTCCATGTGGGTTTAGTTGCTTCCCTGGTAGATGGCTTCTTGTTTAACTTCAAGCCTTTAGGACCCTAGACGCTCTATCTCTTGATAACTGGGCACCATCAGCTTTCTTCACCACATTTGCTTATGGACTCACTTTGTCTTCAGTAATTGTGTTGGGAAGGGGAGTATCAGAGAGTGCCAGGTTATTAGAACAAAACGTTCTTGTGTTGAGGAAGGACTCGAGTAGAGGCCCAAAGTATTAAGTGCTGTCTTAATACTTAACATGTAAATAAATGTACATAGACCTATATCCCTATCATTATAAATTAATGCATTTACATATATTACATATATACATGCCTTCATTTATCCTAGGAGGTTTGCTTCCTAGTTCTTTGCTCTATTTCCTTTTACTTTCCTCCTCTCCCACTATCATGTTCGCTCTTCATTCGGTTCTCAGTAATTCCTCTTGGATCCATTGCACTTGATCAAACCCCAGCAGGCGCATTCTACACCCTTATTGTTCCCTTGTCCCTGAGTTTGTTGGCTACCCACTCCCCCTGGAACCGGAGATCCCATTGTTTTCTCCTCTGGATTGTTTATCCTGACTATCTTATATAGACACAGAGAAAAAGGAAAGAGATATTTTTAAAGCCTATAAATAGCTCCAGGTCTGTCTGCTGACTCGAATTGGGTCTGATGTGGAGCTAAGCCATGCTCCCCACCTCCCCCAAGTCAGAAGTTTATTGTCTATTTTCGGGATTCCTTAAGTATTCTGCTTCCCTTGCTGCTCTGTTGGGCACCCTTCATGTATGAGAGGGGCTTAGATCAGGCACAATTCCCACACTGTGTCTCTAATGCTGCTCCCTGTAGTGCTGTGGGTCATTGAGGGGTGTCATGTCTCCTGGGGGCTGGGGGGAATGGGCCTTTTGGTCCTCTCTGTGCATTGGTTACTTCAAGCAGGGATGTCATCCTCAGGGCTTGGTGGGCCCTGATGAGGTTCATGTTCTCTCTCCCGCTCCCTCTTAGCTTGCTCCTGACTCCCAGTGTTTATCTTGGCATAAAGGAGTGTTCTTTAAGGCTTGATTTTCAACATTTTTTTTTTTATTTTCAACATTTTATGGAGTATGTATTCCTTTCATTATGAAAACAAAGGTGATTTTTCTGAAATGTAAAAGTTCAGCGCATGTGTTTCTGCCTCTGGCGTGGCTTCCCTTGCTGTTCATTGGACCTGAGGGTGTGAGCAGCGTTGTCACCGAAACATGGCTGGTGGGCTTTAGAACCGTCCATCTGTCAGCTACCTTGGCTGCAACCAGCAGAGAACGAGTCAGAAACCCTCGCCAGTGGCCGCAGAGCACAGCTGTTCTTCCCATGGAGTCCTGGTGGTGTGCTGGGTTCCTGTGGGGCTGCTAATGGCAAGCTCGGCAATTGAAAACCACCAGCCGCTCCACAGGAGAAAGATGAAGCTTTCTACTCCCAGAGTTCTACCCTGCCCTTTGGGGTGACTAGGAGTTGGAATCGCCTTGATGGCAGTGAGTTGCTACCCTTCTTTAGAGAGAAATACGGTAGGAACCCTGTGTGTAATTACAGTTGTCTAATAGCCTGATTTTAAACATATAAAAAGAAACTGGGAAATTCATCTTAAAGATTTATTTTTTAAGCCAATATGTAAAAAATACATATATCATGCCAACATGTAATCAATTTTCAGAATGATTGACATCTTTCACATTTTTTTTTAGGAAATATATTTTTTTTAATTCAAGTAGCTGTAAGTAGGAGAGCAGTGGAGGACTCAGGCAAGGACATAGACTAGCTACCCCCTCCCTGACAAAACAAGGGGAGAGATGGCCCCCCACCCCTCCTCAGTCAGCGTGTGCCATACCCTCCTCACTCTGCCTCCCCCCACCCTTCTGACACTGGGCTGGTCCTCCGTAACTCAGAGGACTCCTGTGAGATGCTCTTCCTTCTCCAGCTTTTTGGGTGTGCCCCTCGGCTTCCTCCCAGGACCAGTGGTGGTAGTTATCTGGGTCTTGGCAGCACCCTGATTTTAGCTTCCCTTCAGTTGGCCTCTAGGTCTCTTGGGTGTTAGCACTTGGCTGGGCTCCTTCTGAGGCAGCTTGCGTAGCCTGCCCGTCCCTCACTTCTCAGCACCGTCGTCTGCTTGGAGGCCAAGGGCTGGCTGTGCTTCGAGCTTCATTTGCTCATCTTCTCTATGGAACAGTGGCTGGGACGTGCGAGCTAGGCTGCCAGCCTGCAGTGGCATTTGAGGCTGCTGGGAGCTATGGTGCTGGTACTGCCACTGCTGGTGGTGAATGGTGATGGTGGTGGTGGTAGATAGTGGATGGTGATGGTGAATGCTGGTGGTGGCGGTGGTGGTAGTAATGATGGATGGTGAATGGTGGTGGTGGTAGATGGTGGACGGTGGTGGTGGTGATGATGGATGGTGATGGTGGTGGCGGTGGTAGTAATGATGGATGGTGGTGGTGGTGGTGGTGTGGTGGCAGCCCCGTTGGGCTCCACCACCACCACTGGGAGCACGGATGCCTTCCTTCATGGAGCCACAACTGAACCAGGAAGAGCCCCAGCTCAGAGTCTCAATTAGAGAACATATTCTTTAAAAATTTTGTATTCTGTCTTTGAGATCTTGTGTGCTTATTGTTTTCTTTAATGTTGAGTGTTAGTACCGGTAGTAATTCACTTTTCTTAGTGCAATAGTTTCCTGCCTTTATACCACATGGTCTGGGCGAGCCACGCTTCGGTGTTGGGTAGTCACAGGTGGTTTCCGTTGTGCTGCCAGCACAGCCTAGAGCAACAGCGGCCCAATGATCTTCTGTGACAACGGTAATAGTTTCACAACTCTGCTGGGGAATAAGCCTTTCCTTTGATACTTGAAAATCAAAGCCAGCAGATGGAGACAGTACCCCCCCC